AGTCTAGATTAAATTTTCTGCAGGTGAATAATCAATTTTTTCCAGCATCCTTTGTTAAGAGGGTCTTTTTTCTCTAGTGTATGTTTTTGGTCCCTTTGTCAAAGATCAGATTGCTAAAAGTGTCTGAGAATGCTTCTGCCTCCTCTATTCTGTTCTATTGTGCCACATATATGTTTTCTTGCTAGTATTGCCATGAGGGTTTTTTTTTAAATTTTTATTTATTTATTTAGTGTGTGAGTGTGTGTGTGTGTGTGTGTGTGTGTGTGGCCAGATCAGCCCACCAGGGGGCAGGGCTGGCTGGCATGTGGTGCTGGGGGATTGAACCGAGGTCCCTGTGCTTTGCTAAGCTTGTTCTAAGTAGGTGCTTTAGACCACTGAGCCATCTCACCAGCCCCACCATGAGGGTTTTATTACTATATCTGTGTAATATAACTTGACATCTGGAATTGAGATGCTGCCTGCTTTGTTCTTATTGTTCAAGATTGCTTTTCCTATTCTCTTTTGCTATTCTGACTCAATATAAATTTTAGGATTTTTTTTCTAGTTTTATGAAGAATACTGTTGGTATTTTGATGAGGATTGCATTAAATCTATATATAAATTTTGGCAATATGGCCATTTTGACAATACTAGTCTCACCTATTCAAGAACAGGGGGTACATTTCCATTTTTTTATGTACTCTTCAATCTCATTTTTTATAGTACTATAATTTTCATTACACATGTCTTGAAGTTCCTTGGTTAGGTTAATTTCTAAGTATTTAATTATTATCTGTTGTGAGTTGTATTGCTTTCCTAATATCTTTCTCAGTGAGTTCATCACTGGTATACAAGAATACAATTGATATTCATGTATTTATTTTGTATTCTGCTACTTTGATGAATTTATTAGTGCTAGGAGTCTTTTGTGGATTTTTTTGTGACTTTTATTTAAAGGATCATGTCATCAGTAGATAAAAACATTTTAACCTCTTCATTTCCTATACTTTTTAAATTTTATTTCTCTTGCCTGGTTACCCTGGATAGTTTTGAGCACTATATTTAATTAGAGTGGACACTCTTGTCTTGTTCCTGATTATAGAGGAAAATTATTCACCTTTTCCTACCTAGTGTGATGTTAACAGTGGGATTATCATAAATGGTTTTATCAGTTTGAAGTGGGCTCTTCAATAGCTATTATACCAAGGTTTTTACTGTGAATGGCTGTTGATTTTTTTTTTTTTTAATGTATTTTAGTACAGGTCCACAGGGTTTCACTACATACATAGGACTCATAGTGATCTTCCTGTTTTCAGTCTCCCAAGTTCTGGGATTATAGGTGCGTGCCACCATGCCCAGTCTCAATTGGCATATCAGTGCACCCTGGGGGCAGGGCCAGCACAACACACTGGGGATAGATCCCTGGCCACTGTGCTCTGCCTAAGCAGCCACTTTCATCCACTGTGCTATCTGGTTGGCCCTCTAGCTGTTAAATTTTATCAAAGGCTTTTTCAGCATGTATTGAGATGATCATGTGAGTTTTGTCCTTCATTCTGTTTATGTAATGCTTTACATTTATTGCTTTATGGATCTTGAACCATCCTTGCATCTCTAGGATGAAGCAAGGTTGGTCACAGTGCATGATCTTTTTGAAGGTTTTTCATATGTGCTTACCAGTATTTTCTTGAAGAGTTTTGTGTGCATTTTTATTTTAAAAATTAGCCTATAGTTTTCTTCTTTTCTTCAGTCTTTGCCCAGTTTTGGTTTCAGGGTAATGTTAGTTTCAAGGAATAACTTTGGAAGTATTCATTCTTTTTCAATTTAATTGAAGAGTTTAAGGAATATTGGCATTAGATCTTCCTTGAAGTTCAGTAGAGTTCTACGATGAATTCATCAGGTCCTGAACTGTTCTTTTTTTGGTAGAATTTGTATTACTGCCTCTTTTTTGATACCTGTTATTGAATTATTTAGAGCTTTCATTTTTCTTGGTTCAGTTTTCATAATTCATAAGTGTCTAGCAATTTCTCCATTTTTTCTAGGTTCTCTGATTAAAATATTAGTTTTCAAGTGATATTTTTAGAATTCTCTAGATTTTTGTAGTGTTGATTATAGTTTTATGTTTTCATTTCTAATTACATTGACATGGGTTTTTTCTTTCCTTTATTTGGTAAGCGTAGTTATGGGTTTATCAATCTTGTTTATCCTTTCAAGGAGCCAAAAGTCTGATTCACTGATCTTTCATATTTTTTATTTCAATTTCATTAATTTCTGCTTTGAAATTTATAGTCTATTTCCTCATAAACTTCAAATTTGAATTCCTCTTGATTTTCTGAAACCTTGAGATGTATCATTAAGTTATTTTATTTGAAATTTCTTAATTCTTTTAACAATGTGCATTAAAACTTCCCTCTTAGAACTGATTTCATTGTGACCCTATTTTTCGGCTCATTGCTCTTCCATTGTCATTTGACTGTAGGAAATTTGTTTTTCTTTCTGGTTTTTTCTGGGAGTCCACTGATTATACAGTGATGTATTGCTTACTCTCTAGGTGTTTATCTAATTTCTGTAAGTTCTTTTGCTATTGATTTCTAGCTTCATTCCACCAGAATTTAATAGTATGTAGTGAATTATCTCAACTATTTTGTAGTTATTTAGCTGTACTTCAAGGTCTCCTAATAACAGTCTACTTTGGAAAAAGTTTTGTGTGCTGCTGAGAAAAAAACGTATATTCTCTGGTTGCTGGATGAAACATTATGTAGCTATCTGTTAAATTCATTTGATCAATGTTGTGTTTAATCATATTTTTTGTTGATTTTTGGAGGGCTCTGGTTGATCTAATTGTGAGCAGAGGGGTTGAAGATCCTCACTATAATTGCATTGGTGTCGATCTGTCCTTTAGTATCTAGTTTATCAGTATGTAATGGCCATCTTTGTCTCTCTACCAGTTTTGGCCTGAAGTAAGCTGTGTCTGAAGATAGCTACTCCCCATTGCTTTCAGTCTCCAGTTTCACAGAGAATCATTCACCCTTTCACATTTAGTCTAGGAGCTTCCCTTTCGATGAGATGCGTCTCCCATAGGCAGTATTTTGTTGCATTTTGGGTTTTGACCTCATATTCTAGTCTGTGCCTTTCACTTGGGGATTAAAACCATTACCAGTCAGAGTTTCTATTGTAAGGAGTTTGTGAATCCTGTCCTTGCATTATTTTTCCAGTGATGAGTCCCTTGTTTGTTTTCCTTTTGTTTGACTGATCTTCCTGTTTGACGTACATTTTCCTCTGGGCTCTTTGGTGCTGGTGGCGTTCCTCTCTCTGACCATGATTCCCTTGAGAATTTGCTGCAATGGTGATTTAGTAGTGATGATGTATTTCTTTTGAATTTCTTTGTCATGAAAATTCCTTGGCTCATCAATTTCAATTTCTTTTTTTGCCAGAACCGGGGATTGAACTCAGGCCCTTGCGCTTGCCAGGGAACCACTTATTCCATTGAGCTATCTCCCTGGCCCTGGTTCATCAACTTTAAAGACTAATTTTGCAGTATATAGGAAATCCCACAGCCTTCCACTATGAGTGACAGAAATGAAAGCACCAATGAAAGCCTTCTACCATGGTTTTTGTAAAGATGAATACCAGAGATATTTAAAGCAGAAATGATTGTTTTCTAATAATAGCACTCTGACTGGGCATTGTGGTATGTGCCTGTAATCCCAGCACTCAGGAGGCTGAGGCAGGACAGTCACTGTGAGTTTAAGGCCAGCCTGAGCCACAAAGTGAGTTGAAGTCCTACCTGAACTATATAGTGAAACTTTGTCTCAAAAGGACAAAAAAAAAAAAATTAATAACAGGACTCTCAAACCATCATACTGTGATGGGTCTAAAACTTCAGTAGATAGACTATTTTATAAAAGCTTTTAACAAATTATTATAAAAGGCAAATTAATTAATTAGTTAGTTGTGGTGGGATTAAATCTAAAGCCTTTTTACTGAGTGAGTTGCATCCCCAGTCATCTTTCTTCTCTCTCTCTCTCTCTCTCTCTCTCTCTCTCTCTCTCTCTCTCTCTCTCTCTCTCTCTCTCTCTCTCTCTCTCAACAGAGCCTTGAAAAATTATTTGAACTAGACCAGAACTAGACAATCCTCCTGTCTAAGTTTGCTAGAATGTTGGAATTATAGGCAAAGCTACCACACCTGTTACAATCACATATTTCAGAGTGTTTTTCAGTAATGAAAGTCTGTTTGTGCATTGTTGATTTTCTCAAAATAAAATGTGAGCACCCTCCCAGATCTGACTAGGAGGCAGGTAGTCTTCTCATCAGGGCGTCAAGTTTAGCACCACTTTCCAAATATGCACAGGAAGATGCAGGATGCAGGTTTTGCAGCTACACAGCTCTTTCTTCTTACTCCTCCCTAATACCTCTCTTCTGACTCTAATAAAAGCTGTGAGTCTTTATAGTCAGGATCTATTAGCCTTTGTGACTTCAGCTAAACATACTTTGGTTTTATATTTTCTGACAGTAATGAAATAGCAGCAGAAGAAAGCACTAGAAATAGGCTTGTCTTATCACTTAGAAATTGAAATAGAGAATCTAATGGGAAAACTGAGATAAGTTTTCTGCAAGGTAGTGTTTTGTATGTTTATTTTTCTTCCAGAACTCTAAATAGTTGCCTTGGCAGAGTGACTGCCCTGTAACTGCCCCCTCCTGAACTCTCAGAGGTGTTTATAGAAATCGAAAGTTCAGCAGTACATTTCCATGAGCTCATTACCAGTTCAAGTCATACCTTTTAGATTTTACATGTACAAATGGATATACACACAGGATAAGGCTCTCAGGTTGTATTTTAATTACAAAAGAGCTGAAGTCAGATATTTAATTACTGTAACAGCTGGGTATCTTTAGAATTCCTGCTTTGGTCATTATTATTCAAAGCAACGCTAAAGTTATTCCTTGCCTGCCTCTTTATGCTAATTGGCTCAGTCTACTTTGCTCCTCCTCCTTCCAGCTTCCCTTAAGGACTACATGTCCAGCTGTCACAGAGGGTAGATCAGACCAGGCAAAGAAATCATTTGATCGATCCCCACAGTACTTGCTTTCCTCTCTGTATGTATAACTGTAGCAGTCCTCTTAAATACTAGGGAATTGGATTTCACATCAGTGGAAGGCATTGTGCATTGCCAAAATTGTAATCTATTAGAAGTAGCTACTTTTGGAGATCTTATGCAAAAGGAAAGGACAGTTTCAATTTACTTTGAAGTGAAAGAAGAACTAAATCTAGTTTTTGCTAATTACATACACTTGGCATCTTTCGATGTGAGGGAGCTAACATTGGTGAATATTTATTTGAAGAATCATGTCTAGGAAAAACCTGGAAGATTACTAGAGTAGTAAATGTTTTACATGCAAAGCAGGATCTGCATGTGAGTATGTGGTTCTGCATGCCTTCTGAGAACCATTTTAGGTGACTGGCCGAGCTAAGGAAATGTCGCTGTAATCCTCAAACCACAGCCAGGCTGCTAGTACCATGTCTGCTACTCAGAGGCGAGGCAGCAGCCACCTGTTCACCAGTTTGCACATGTGTCAACAGGAGCTGTGGGAGAACCAGCAACAGCAAGGTGAGTCCATCTAATGACTTCTGTGTTCTGTGAACTTCTGTGCATTTGCATATTCAGAGGGTGGTGGGATGGTACAGTAGCTGGAGGAACCTCTGATTATAAAATGCTTTGTAATCTTCCATTTTTATAACAAGAAGTATAGTAGGGAGGCATAAGGATGGGTTAACCTGGATTAGCTAGTGATTTTTTTAAAATTACAAAGAACTGAAAGACTACCAGTAAAGAATATTCCTTGGGAACTTGGATGCTTAAGGTCCTAGCCACTGTTAGACTTTAGTCTGATATATTTTGTGTCATTTGAAACATGTGACTCAGAAAGGCTGCATTAGTTATAGGAAGGATTTAGCTGAGGGGAGCTTTAATTTAGCATGGAGCTGTCCCCCTGGTGTTGTCCCTGAAGTTTTGGTCCTAGTTTAAACCTAATTTTATGTGGATTTCTTGTTCATTAATTTTTGGGAGATATAAATATGTTCTTGATTCTTTCTTTTTTATAATCCTGAGAGAACAGGAAGTGGACAGGAAAGGGTCACATTTCACTCGCTGGGCACTCATTCAGAACTAGACAACATCCCCTTCGCAGCCATTTTCATAAACAATGTTTTAAATTTTTAAAGTCTGCTATCTATCTAGATGCATCCATTCATGGCAGATGGCTGACATGAATAGGCAAGACAGTGTCTCCAATTCACCAAGTGTGGGGTGGCAAGGGACACTTGTGAGAAAGGCTAGGTACCCCTATAGACGATGTTGCTGCCTCCCAGAGATTAAGGATTTACCAGACATTTTTCATGTCACCTCAGTGGCCTGTGATGGTTCTGTTTATGTATGGATCTAGGCTGTGACCTTTTCATTTATTTTTCTGTAGACACACTTTTAGATTTCAGTAGTATGGACTATGGTGGCTAATGGGCCAAAACTGTCCACTTACGGTATGAGTGTTTCAAGCCACCTCCCTGAATGAGTCTTGCAGCTCTGGGAAATGATTCCATGCTATCCAAGGCTTACCATAGTGCAGGAAGAAAGTGATTTTTGTTAAATGTAGACTTCTAAAACCACACTGTACTGCTGAGGCTCAAATGAGTCATTTTAAGCCCACTGCCTTAGAATGTAGAGTCCTGGGACGAAGGAGGGTTTCAGTACAACACTTCAGAATGCTCTTGCTCTTCTGCTAATACAGAATAGGGCTCATGGTTTTTTTTTTTTTTTTCTTGCTGTTCCTTTTGTTTGCAGTATTCAAAGCTGATACAATATTTCTTATAGAAAATTTAATGAGAGCAGCATAAAGTAGATGATAAAATAACCACCTGTCACCCCAAGACCCAAAGATAGTTGCCAGTTATGTGTGTGTGTGTGTATATATATATATTTTTTTTGGGGGGGCAGAACTGGGGATTGAACTCAGACCCCTGTGCTTGCCAGGGAAGTGCTTACTCTACTGTGCAATCTCCCTGGCGCCGCCAGTAATATTCTGAATAGGCTTTGTAGCCTTGTCTTCAAAATACAGGTATAAGGTTTCCTTTGCTATACTTTTAAGCAAAAGTAGATGTGCTCTGTACATAGCGTTTTATAAGCTGCTTCTTCAGTTAACAACATATGATGACCAAACTGCCCTGCCTTTAAGTACAAATGATCTTATTTTTATGGTTCTTTCATATGGACTCACCAAAATCCCTTAGGCAATTCCCTGCTGACAGACATTTTACTCATTTCCATATTTTGCTATTTCATTAATAACATGTTAAACCTAAACTAATGGATAGATTTGTGCAAAGAAATGTGTAGAATTGTGTGTTCAAGGATTTTACATTTTTTACTTTTTAGATTTTTTTTTTTTTCTTTTGGACTGACTCTCAAATTATCAGTGAAGGATATATCTCAAGAACACTGTTTTCAAAAATTCTTTCCTGATTTTATAAGTGGAAAATAATATCCCACTGTTGTTTTAATTGAAGGCAGACTGTCTCAAAGGTCTCTCTCTTCTTTACTGGCTGTATTCAGAGAAGCCTGGAAATATCATTATGATGACATATTTCCCCAAAATACCGAGACTATCTTTTTCTCAGACTGAAGCTTTATGCCTAGAATATTTTGAAAGCCACCATATTCTTCCATGGCTGAGTCTCAAAATATTTGCCCACGTAAACCACAATTCATGCAGTTGTGAAGCATGCTGATGCAGCTCATACCGGCCATATCTGCTATAAGAAATGTCATTAAGAGATTTGAGTTGACAAGTGACAATAGTAGTGTTTGCTATGTTTTTAAATAGCATTCAAATTACTGGAATTTAAAAGTTTACATTTACTGTTTCTGGAAATTAAAAGCACTCATTTGGGGCAGTGGTCAGGTTTTTGCTCTCTGCTATATTTGCACCTTGGTATTATGCAAAGTTCAGCAAAGGTCCAAGGAGGCAGAGCCACTCGTTTTAGAGAGTGCGGTCTGGCTGTGGATTTGGTCACAGAAGCATGCTGGGTTCGTGGCTTTGGCTTTGTCCTGGACGGACTACTCTTGCTGCTTTCTTATTTAGCTCATGATGATTAATTGATTTTTAACTGTTCTGGGACCATGACCAGCTTCAAAACATACATATATTCTAATTCTTCATTCTCCATCCTAAAGTATCTTATGGATCTGGGGAGCTAGCTCAGTGGCATAAGCACCTGCTTGAAAAGCGCAGGGTCTAGAGTTTGATCCCCACACCCCATGCCTGGCGCGACCTGCCCCCAGTACCCAGGTGCACCATGCCACACCTGGAACTGTGTGTGGCTGTACCTGCCTGAAATTCCAGCACTAGGGAGGCTGAGGCAAGAGGATCACTATGAGTCTGAACTGCGTAGTGAGACCCTATATATAAAAAGAATTACATTAAATTTTTTAAAAAAGTGATTTATGTTGACCCCAAAATATTTGACTTGACCTCCTCGCCCATAAAATACACTTTTTTGGTTGAACACACAGATAAAAATTCATGTATTCAACAACTATTTGACCAAAACTATGCCCAAAGTATTGTGTCAATTTGTGACACAGTACTTTTTTTCCCCACCCACTCATGTCTGCTTGACTCCAAGTCCACAATTGAAATGTAATCTCATTCCAGAAACCTCTCACAGAAACATGCAAAATGTTGACCAACTACATTTTGGTCAACCAAATTGACACATGAAATTAATTATTACAGATAAATATGATTCTAGGTGTATAAATTAAACTAAATCTTGATTTCCTGTCTACATAAAATATATTTCACTTCTTGTTACTTCTGGAAGCTTCTTTCTTTCTTTCTCCTCTTCCTCTTCCTCTTCCTCTTCCTCCTCCTCCTCCTCCTCCTCCTCTTCCTCTTCCTCTTCCTCTTCCTATTCCTCTTCCTCTTCCTCTTCTTCTTCTTCTTCTTCTTCTTCTTCTTCTTCTTCTTCTTCTTCTTCTTCTTCTTCTTCTTCTTCTTCTTCTTCTTCTTCTTCTTCTTCTT